AGCATAAGTACCTGCCTGGCAAGCACAAGGTCCCAAGTTTGATTGATCCCTGGTATCCCCGCAACCTCCCCCAAAAAGAACTTCTGTAACAAAAACAAAAACTTAGGAAGATCAATTACCTTCAAAATTTCTGTTGATAAAATAACTACAACTCATTTTTTTCAAAGAAAATTGCAATCCAGGTACGGTGATTCAAACTTTAATCTCAGCACCATGGGAGGCAGAGGTGGGAAGATGGCAAGTTTGAACCAGGCTGGGTAACTTATTAACTTATTGTGAACCTGTCTCAAAATCTTAAGAGAAAGGCTAGAGATAGAGCTCTGTGCTAAGTTCCCAGGATCAATCCCCCAAACCATAAAAAAACAAAAATAAAGTGAAAACAAGCAAGCTCACACCAGCAAATGCAGTCTAGCCCACACCCCTCTGTATCCTGACATTGAAAGCCAGGTTCTTTGAATAACAAAGATTACTGTTATGATCCCTGTTGCAGGGCTTCTGGCCTGTAGTTTTTGTTTGCCCCTAAACTTACAGAGAACCGGGATATCGCTCAGTACTCATAACTGCTATGCAGGTTTGACAAGACTCTGCTGGCACCTGTTGACTATAACTCTGGCCAGCGGTGTGTGGGTGGGGCATAGTTCCCAGCCACTTTTTTACTTCACTCTGCCTGCCCTGCTGCAGGCTGAGCTAGGGGTCCCCAAAGCCTTACCCTTGTGGGCGGCGCTTCTGAGTGGTAACTGGCACATGGGCCACCGCTGACTTGCTGTCAGGAGGGATGGGGTGCCTCCCTTCCCAGCCAAGCCCTTCTCTCCCCAGTTCCTTTTTGTTTTTTTAATTTTATTTATTTATTTGTGTGTGTGTGTGTGTGTGTGTGTGTGGCCAGCTCAGCCCACCAGGGGGCGGGGCGGGCTGGCATGTGGTGCTGGGGGATTGAACTGCAGTCCTTGTGCTTTGCTAAGCTTGTTCTAAGTAGGTGCTTTAGACCACTGAGCCATCTCACCAGCCCTCTCCCCAGTTCTTAGCCACCATGCTGTGAGCAGTTCTCCGTCAGGCCACTTTGCCAGGCCACCCGACCTGGAGTGTGGCGTCGGCTGCGGTGGCTGAGTCTGCCACCCACTACATATCCCTGTGCTATGACTCTGCTATGGGCACGCGAATGAGGCATAAGTGACATGGCCAGAGGTTTTTTGTTTTTGAGACAGGGCCTTCCTATGTAGCCCAGGCTAGCTTGAAACATGCAACCCTCCTGCCTCAGCGCTCCAAGTGACTGGCAAGCCCCACAACACCCAGTGACACTGCTAGTTCTGAGCCCAGGCTCTCTGTTTTCCCCCTTCCCAGCCTCAGAAGGACAGGCTTCATGGTCCACTGCCACTGAGGAAGACAGTGGTGCAAAGAGTGCTGGACCGGCCATCCTTAATGGCCTGCAGAATAGAGGAATGAGTGCTTCTGGCCTCGTGCAGTCACATACACTCAAGATCCGCTGAGCCCCATGCACATCTAAGCCAGCGAAAGGCCTCCCTCTATCGGCAGCAACAGGGCCTTCCTCATCTTCCTGAGACCTTCCTGCCTCTGCATTCCACTTTTAACCATGATGGACTCATCCTTCTCATGGTGGTGGCCATCTAAAAATGAAATGCTGTCGGCCCCACCCCTGTAATCCCAGCACTTGGGAGGCTGTAAGCAGGAGAATCACTACAAGTGATCTACGCAGCGAGACCCTGTACACCCTGTCCTGCCCAGGGGTGTGAATCTAAGGCCTTGGTGCTGAGCTCTATCCCTGAGATGGGTCGGGCTTGAATTTGCCATCCTCCTGCCTCAGTTTCCCAGGATGGGATTACAGATGTGCACCACCATGCCAGTTCAACAATTCTCCTGATCAAATAGTTCCGTTTCCTCTCTTTGGTCCAGCTATAAGGCGAGCTGGCAAAACCACAGCACACAGTACCCTTGTTACCTTTCTGAACATTTCCATAATGTTGTCAAGGAGAATACCTTCCATATTTTGTCTTTTTTCTTTTTTTGTGGTCCCAGGGATTGAACTCAGGACCTTGAGCTTACCAGCAAGTGCTTATTTTACTGAGCTAGCTCCCCAGTCCTGATATTTTGTCATGTTTATGAGATAAATCTTGCAGATTTTTTTAATGACCACTGTGAGAATTAAGTGAACATGGGGGTATCAAGTGCTACCTGTCTTTTTTTTTTTTTTTTTTGCGGAACCGGGGATTGAACTCAGGCCCTTGTGCTTGCCAGGGAAGCGCTTATTCCACTGAGCCATCTCCCCGGCCTACCTGTCATTTTTTTGAGTGAAGAATTGTTCTGGGCTGCATATAAAATATAGAATATGGTTACATAAATATTTTTATTATAACATTTTTGAAAATGAGGGCAAGAAAATAAAAATAGGCAGGCCACAGATTTGACACACTTGGATGGAAGTGGACATCAAGGAAGCACAATTCAGATACTACAAATCTAAAGAAATGAAAAAGTAATGAGAAAAACTACATAATTCATCATGTCAAAAAGAACTCCAGCGGGTGGAGTAGTACACAGGAGGCCGAGGCAGGATCAGTGCAAACTCAAGAGCAGCCTGGGCTACACAGTGAGTTCAAGGCCAGCCTGGACTGCACAGCGAGACCCCATCTCAAAAACAAAAGAAAAGAAAGAAAGGAGGAAAGACAGAACTCAACCTAGGGTTTACATATCGTTTACACAGTAACACTCGTCCTGTCCTGCCGGGACACTGACCTTGCTCATGTGCGCTCATTCTGAGCACTATGCTAGTGCAGCCAGACGCAGGAGAAGGGGCCTTCCTCACGACATACCTGGTCCAAGGCAGCTCTCTTCAGCTTCTGCAGGGTTCTGTCTGAGGTCAGGACCTGGGAACTGCTGTGAGCCTCAAAATATTCTTCCACTAAGTTGCTCTGAAAAGGAAAGAGTTAAGCTACTACTAGGCAGTCTCAGATCTTTGTGTCCCATTAAAACGAGCCACAAAGCTGGGGAGATAGCTCAGCAGCATAAGTACCTGCCTGGCCAAGTGTGAGATCCTGAGTTCGATCTCATCTCTGGTACTGGAAAAAAACTAGACACAAAGTAAGACAAAAAGATGAAATAGGAGGTAACAGTCTTTTTCACTGACATAGTGGCACATTCCTATGAATCCAGCACTCCGGGAGCCTCAGGCAAGGAGATCACAAATCCAAGCCCAGGTGGGTGACTTACAACTTTGTAAAAGCCTGCCTCAAAATAAGGAATAAAAAAGGCCAGGAAAGCAGCTCAGTGCAAAGGCTCTCATCTCACTTCCATCTGTAACAGTATCAGAGTAAGTAGGTAAAGTGAAAAGGCTCATTTTGTTTTGTTGGCATGTGGGTCTTGTTGGATTGTCCAAATTGCTGTCAACCTTGTGGGCTGCAGAGTCCTCCCAGCAGCCCAAGCAGCTGGCCCCAGCTGCGGACCCCTCACTAGACTCAAAACTCTCCCTCTGGTGGCATTTTCTTTCTGAACAGCAACAGGCTAAATACAAGGATACCAAACTGCGGTTATAAAACTGTAATTCTTAGGATTAAACAAGTAATTGAAGTAATCTGCTCCAAAAGAAGTGATTCCTAAATTCTAATACATAGTGTAATTTTTCTTTTACACCAAAAAACAGATGATACTAGAGAGCAGGATCTTAGTTTCTCCTCAAGCAGCCTTAGTAAGGCCTCTAACACAGCAGGGATGAGACACTGCAAATAAGAGGCCAATTGACAGCAATGTCACTGAAAAGAAAAACAAGCACGGCATGGTGGTGCACACTGTAATCCTAGCTACTCAGGAGACTGAGGCAGGAAAATCACAAGTTTTCTGGCCAACCCAGGCAACCTCAGAGATTCTGAGGCCTGATGTGATGGGGTGCACCTGTAATCCCAGCGCCTGGGAGGCGGAAGCAGGTATGCTTTGCATTTGAGTCCAAACCAGGCTACAAAGTGAGTTTGAGGCCCACCTCAATTACACAACAAAACTCTGTCTCAAGAACATAAAACAAAAACAAAGAAACAACACCAAAATAAAAAATGGAAAGGGCTAAGAATGCAGCCCAGCGGCAGTGTCTCTGGCTCTCTCTCTTGTATTGGGTGGCTCCCCACAGTCCAGACTAGGAGGCAAGGAAGGCATTTCTGTGGGAGCTGCCTGACTGCCTCAGCACACCTCTGTCCAGACCCAGGATCCTTCCCTTCCTGCAGCTGGACTGCATAGGGCGCTCCCTCACAACACAACTAGAGCTGTGGCGACCTCTGTTGTTACTGCACTCACTCCAACACATCAGCAGGATACAAAAGGTGTTACGAGTCTCACTACCATCTGTGCAATCAATATTTATCAAAAAGCTCATCTTTATGCCATTGAATTGAGATGCTGCCTTTAGCATGTACTGTGGGTGATTCCCAATCCATAGACAGGCAAGAATATAAAGCAAAAAAATTGAAACAAGTGTGTTAATTTACAAGTAGGATGAAAATACAAAAAAATGAAGGGAAAAAAAGTCTACTGATTGCTTCTGTGACCTGTTCTCTCATGGTAGCCTTCTCTGAAGGTATTTACACAGCTTTTCTCTAAGGTTAGTCTCCTCACTTACACGCTTAGCTCGCTTCATCTTCTTAGAAGGTGTTCCTTTGCAGACAGGCGCTGAAGCTCTACTCTGAGCAGGAACCTTCGGGCTGAGCACAGATGCACTCGTGTCCTCCTCAGATTCCTGCATACCTCCTTCATCCTCGGAGTTGGAAGCCGAATATTCACTATCACTGTCAGAATGAGACCTGGGAACTGTAGGGGAAGCAATTAGGGACATTTGACAACGTGACAAGCCTCACTGTGGGGTAATAAAAAGAGCGTGAGCTTGGAAGTAACACTTCGGATTCTGGTTTGTCACGACTTGCTCATAATTTCACCAGAGCTGGTTACATACATTCTCTAAGTACCAGTTGCCTCATTTAGCAAATGAGGCAGAGTACAATTTAATAACCACTTGTGAAGAGGACACTTACTGTATGGAAGGCAACTAATAATGCCTGGCATAATGGGACTGTAGGAGAAACTGTCGAACACACCCATACCTCTCCCTCTCTCCTCACTGACAGAAATCTTTTTCTGTCAAGTGGCAGTATGCCCACTCTGTGGATGAATCAGGATAACCAACCCCCTCCAGATCCTTGCTTTCCCTTGCAATAGGGGCTGGCCACATAAACTGCTGACTGAGACCCAAGGGAAACGCTGGGAAAGATTTTCCTCAGCGATGGAAGGGAGGCCCCAGTCTGCACCCAAAGCTACTGTCTAGCATAAAGAACTAAGCTAAAGATGAAAACTGCTGGTGGCAGAGCAAAGAGACAGGAACCTGGGCTGTTAGTGGGACTTGTGAGTTTCTCTATCAGCCATGGACCCTGGACCTCAAGATACAGACTTTAGGGTCCCTACACACTACTCTACATGTTCCTGCTGCTGCTGCTGCTGCTGCTGCTGCTGCTGCTGCTGCTGCTGCTGCTGAAGACACCACCCTGACACAGCGCTCAGTAAGTGACAGCTTCCGTCATGCACACTCCCAATACATACACCACTGCATCCCACATCTAATTCAAGAATTGTTTAAGAATTGTATTTCAAAAAACCCAGCAGCCCCAGAAATAATAAAGCTAGTTTAATCCTCATAGAAAAGGATAAAACTAATTTCATACTCAACAAGTACAGAGCTTTTCTGGTTGTTTTTGGTTTTTGAGGCAGGGTCTTCTTGTGTAGCTTAGGCTGGCCCCACACTTACAATGACCCTCATACCTCAGGCTTCTGAGTGTTGGGATCAAAGGTGTGCACCACTATGCCCGAGCAGAACTACTTATGAAAGATACCTCCCAAAATGCTCGTGAAGTAACTTCAGCCACATCACTGCCTCCCGAGAGCACATGGCGCGATTATTCCACGGCAGCACATAAGCACACACTGCAGAGTCCGCCGAGATGCAGGCTGGCCCTGATGCTACTCGTGTGTGCACACGGGGCACAGCAGTAGCAGGGACAGAGGCAGCACTGCCTCCCTGACCTCAGCATGCACTCGTGGTGGTGACCGAGAAGGGCGCACCATCTCTGCAAGGCTCTTCTCTGTGGTAGATGAAAGCTTGGGCCAGGTGTGGTAGCACACACCTGCGAGCCCAGCTCTTGGGAGGCCAAGGCAGGAGGTTCACTTTGAGTTTGAGGCTCGCCTGGACTGCATAAGGGAGTTCAAGGCCAGCTTGAACTACACAGTGAGACGCTACCTCAGAAAAAAAAAAAAAGAAGTGAACGTCTGAACTCCAAGATGGCTTCCATTGTACCACTGAAAGAGAAGAGACTCTTGGATGTGAAAGAAGGGGAGCTGCCCAGCTCTGATGCTGGATTTCTCCCCCATGGGCACTGCCGGAGCATTTCAGAGAGGTCACTACTGGTATTACAACAAGTACATCAACGTGAAGAAAGGGAGCATCGCGGGGCTGCACATGGTGCTGGCAGCCTACATCCTTTTCAACTACTGCCTTTCTTACAAGAAACTCAAACATAAGCGGTGACGCAAGTACCACTGAAAAGGGGCCAGTGTGGAGGGCACTCTGCACTCTAGCCTGTGACTGCCTCGTCCTGCTCCCGTCTGTGAACAGCTTAATCATGGCTCAATTTGTTCATAGCCTAAGTGAGAATTAATGCTCAATAAGAGGTGACCGCTACAGGAAAAAAAAAAAAAAAGACAAAAATATGGGACACAGCATGCGTCTTGACAAGAAGCACTCACATGCAAAGTTGTTGCTTTTACTACTCCAGAGTTGTCATACAGCATCACCCTTGTCCTGAAGGCCACACCCTGGAGCGCAAGGGCAGAAACCTGCACCCAACTCTGACCAGATTTAACAACAGCAGCCGATATTCACAGATACTTATTTTTTTTGGTGCAACCAGGGATTGAACTCGGGCCCTTGTGCCTGCCAGGCAAGCACTTATTCTACTGAGCTCTCTTGCTAGCCAAATTGAGGAATCCTACTTTTTTTCTTTTTTTTTTTTTTTGTGGAACTGGGGATTGAACTCAGGCCCTTGTGCTTGCCAGAGAAGCACTTATTCCACTAAGCCATCTCCCCAGCCCCCGATACTACGACCAGCAGGGGTCAACACAAGAAGGGTGTAGCTTCCTCCTGAGACACAAAGGCCACAAGTCATTTGCCCAAATTTAATACCAAATACAAAAAGCCATTTTTAACTTCCCAGGGGGCAGGTAAGACCCATGTCTGCTTATTTGGCTTTCAATAGCATTCAGTACAACTATGAATTTTGATAGTTAACAAATAGACTCTCTTCCAGAATATCTCAAAACATGCTAAAAAGCATGCTATTTTGTTGGAAAGAGAGATATTTTAACTGACTTAAATATCTATTGATTAAGGACCAACCAAATAGCTCAGCGGATTAAAGTACCTGCTCACGTGTGCGCCACAGTGGCTGCAAATGTCCAGTTCCTAAGGAAGCAACAGCAAGCCTGTCCATCATGGCGTTAGCCAGCTGAAGTTTGCGTGAAGCTTTCAGTCTGTTGCTGAGGAGTGAGCTGGACACCACTGTGGGGCTCTGAGAGTTCTAAATTCTTACTGGGTTGAAGATTCCACATACAAATTCTTTGAGGTTGTCCTTATTGATGCATTCCACAAAGCCATCAGAAGAAATCCTGACACCCAGTGGGTCACCAAACCAGTCCATAAGCACAGGGAGATGGTGGGCTGACATCTGCAGGCCGCAAGAGTTGTAGCCTTGGAAGGGCCACCAAGTGCCACCACACTAGTGGTGATTCTCGCCGTGCAGCTTGGAGAAGGCACAATACTCTCAAGCCCCACCGTTACCGCTAATAATATAAGTGATGTCTGTAAAATTCATAACTCAATAAACAATTTAGGACAGTTCATCTGCTTAAAGGTGTTATTTGTTAAGTAGTCTACTGATTCATGAATGTTTTGTCAAATGTAAGTTAAAAGTGCAATGTTTGAAGACTATGAGTAAAGGTGTATCTTTGTTTCTAATAAGATAAGCTCTTTGTCTTTGCTTTATCTTATTAGCAGGCTATATGTCAGTGTTTGAAACATGCTATGTGGTATAATAGCTGTAAAATAAAGTCTTTAAAAGAGAAATGCTAAAACTAGTGCTGTAAATCTGTGTGGTCCACGTATGAAACCTACAGCTTTACTGGGGTACTGTAAAACTCTGCTGGTTTGAAGTGGATGGGTTTTTTGAAGTTTATCAAATGCAAACTTAAAATCAGATAACCTTGTGTTATGATTATATGTAGAACAGGTTAGAGCTTTTCTCAAATTCAGAATTCCCATTTGTACAACAGACTCTTCTTAAAGTGTCCAAACTCCTGATCTGACTCCATGAAATTGAATATTTGATGCACAGTACTCAGCAGTGATGTTTAGACTGTGTTTTAAAGTTCATGGATAATGAATGAATATTGGGTAAAATTAATGCTTGTAAATGTAATAAATGCTAGTGTGGGAAACTCGTGCAGTAACTACCTGAGAATACTTTGAACCCTATAGCCACATAGGGGGAAAGTACTGGCCCTGGGGTCAGTTGACGTCACTGCAAGTTCATGGTTTTTAATCTTTTCATGTTCTCATCCCAGTTCAGACTGCTGTACCAAATTCTGAGGTTTGCTGACTTAAAAAGTAAAGGAGGGTCTAGGGAAATGGCTCAGTGGAATAAGTGCTTCCTTGGAAAGCGCAAGGGCCTGAGTTCAATCCCCGGTTCCCCCCCGCCAAAAAAAAAGTAAAGGGTCTAGCAGTGAGATATTGGTCTAAGCACCTGCTTGGGCAAGTGCAGGCTGGCCACCGAGACTGGACGTGGTGGCGCACACTTATAATCCCAGCATCCCAGAGGCTGAAAACAGGAGAATTACTACAAGCTCTACAAGCTGGATCTACTAGTGAGACCCTGTACTAAAAAAAAAAAATTCACTGACTATAATGTGAAAGATATCGTATGTACTAAGTTTTGGAATAAAGAAGACTAAATAACATCTTGTCCTTAGGAAATGTAGTATTGATAATATAAATGTATCTTCATCTTTTTTCTTTTTTTGGCAGAACCGGAGAATGAACTCAGGCCCTTGCATTTGCCAGGCAAATGCTTAGTCTACTGAGCCATCTCCTCGGCCCCGAATGTATCTTCTTAAGAAAAGATAGCAAAGAGTATTTCTTTTTCTTCTATTTAAAAACAATTTTGAGGTTTTATCAGTCCATGTTTGCTTGCAGTACACAATGACATTCATCACAGGGAGCTGGTACATTAATCCTTTTACTTCCTCTCCCTTCCCGTGTCAGTGTTTACAATTAACGAGCTTGTACTAAGGCCAAGTGCCACTGAACACACCTGTTGTCCTTAGTTTCAGGTAATCCTCAAAACAATTCTAGGACAGTGCCATTATTATATTTACTTTACAAATGAAAGCACCACTGTGAGCCAAAACTAACTTTGCTAAAAAGAAAAAACTGAAGCACGGAGAGGTGGTGGCAGGCTAAAGACTAAAAACCAAGCAGCCAAGACTAGGATCTGCATGTGCAGCCATTCCCTGCCTGTCTCTAAATGTTACTTTGCATAAAAGCTTTGTATAAGAAGTACATACCTGGGGCTGGTGAGATGGCTCAGTGGTCTAAAGCACCTACTTAGAACAAGCTTAGCAAATCACAGGGACCACGGTTCAATCCCCCAGCACCACATGCCAGCC